TCCTAAAACCAAGAAATTAGATAATCAGAAAATCAGAAAATCAGACAATGAGATGAAAATCAGAAAATCAAAAAGTCAGAAAATGAGAAAACCAGATAAATAAACATCAGAAAATCAAAAAATCTAAAAAAATCAGAAAATCAGAAAATTAAAACATCAGAAAATCAGAGAATCAGAAATTCAGACAATCGTCAATCAATCAGAATATAAAAAATCCAGACATCAGAAAAACTGAACATTTTAAAATCAGGAAATCAGAAAATTAGATAATCAGAAAATAAGATAATGAGAAAATCAGAGAATCAGATAATCAGAAAATCATACAATCAGAAAATCAGATAATCTGAAAATCGGAAACTCAGCCAATTAATAAATCAGAAGATCAGAATATCACAAAATCAGAACATCAAAAAATCAGAAATTCGGAAAATCAGGAATTAACAAAATCAGAAAAACGGAAAATCAGACAATCGGAAAATAGGAAAACCGAAAATAAGAAATCCAATAAATCAGAATATCAGAAAAACGGAAAATCAGAGAATTAGATAATTAGATAATCAGAAAATTAGAAAATTAGAAAATCGGATAATCTGAAACATCAAAAAATCAGAAAATCGGTGAATTAGAAAATCAGAAAATTTCAAAATCAGAAATTCAGAAATTTAGAAATTTAGAAAATCAGAAACTCAGAATATCAGAAAACCAGAACATCAGAAATACAGAAAATCAGAAAATCAAAACATTAGATGATGAAAATCTTAATATCAGAAAATCAGAAATTTAGAAAATCAGAAAATCAGAAACTCAGAATATCAGAAAATTATAAAATCAGAAAACCAGAACATTAGAAATACAGAAAAGCGGAACATCAAAAAATCATATTGTTATTTAATCAGAAAATCAGAAAATCGGACGATCAGACAATCCGACAATCAGAAAATTAGAAAATCGAAAAATCAGAAAATCAGAAAATCGATTGAAAAAATTAAAATCAGAAAATCTGAAAAACAAAACATAAGATAATCAGAAAATCTCAAAATCTCAAAATCAGTAAATCTGATAATCAGAACATAAGAAATACAGAAAATCGGAACATCAGAAATCAGATTGTTATTTAATCAGAAAATCAGACAATTCCACAATCATAAAATCAGAAAATCAGAAAATCAGAAAATCAGAACATCAGAAAATCAGAACATCAGAAAATCAGAAAATCAAAACATTAGATGATCAGAAAATCTTAAAATAAGAAAATTTCAAAATCAGAAGATCATATATTTAGAAAATCGGAAAATCAGAAACTCAGAATATCAGAAAATTAGAAAATCAGAAAATCAGAACATTTGAAATACAGAAAGTCGGAACATCAGAAAATCAGATTGTTATTTTATCAGAAAATCAGAAAACCAGACGATCAGACAAGCCAAAAATCAGAAAATCAGAAAATCGAGAAATTAGAACATCAGAAAATCTGAAAACAAAACATTAGATGATCAGAAAATCTCAAAATCAGTGATGCAAAATATCATGACACTCACGTGACACTCGTCTACGCATCAACCGACTATCGCTGACAGAACGTTTTGTCACGCAGAGCCACGTAGAGCCATGGCAAACAACAATCACCAGTAATGGTCGCTGCTCACAAGCAAAACGTTACACTCACTGCTGATGATTAAAAGCACAACGAAGACTTCTGTAGTACGATGATTAGAAAAAGCGACATGACAGAAGAAATGAAAACAATGTCTACGAATTCCAATTTTGTCTCGGCTCGCGTGACTGTGTGAGTTACACGCAAAGCAGGCAACATTAAACGGAAGCTATTGGGCTCACTCACCAACACATTCACATAAGCAAGCAAAGTAACAACTGCTTCAATACGAGCACAGATGAGTGTCGTGATTGTCGGGAATGGTTAGATCGGTGATGGATTACAACCGAAGCAGACATTCACCAGTTGCTTTTTACTTCTTTCGTCAACTTGATGGATGGTCATTGAGAGCGCTTCGACGAGCCCATTGAATGTACAAAGCGTTACTACCATCAGCTATTTGACGATCGTGAGTGTGATAGGTCGCAACTCTGCTCAAAATCATTAAATCTGATAATCAGAAAATCACAAATTCAGAAGATCGTAAATACAGAAAATCAGATTATCAGAAAATTAGCAAATCAGAAAATATGATGATCTAAAAATCATAAATCTGAAAATCAGACAACTGAAAGTCACAAAAGCAGAAAATCAGAAAATCCGAAAATTATTGAAACAGAAAATCAAAAAATCTGAAAATCAAAAAATTGAACGATCAGACAACCCAACAATCAGAATATCTGAAACTCAAATAACAAGATGATCAGAAAATTTTAAAATCAGGAATTCGGATAGTCGGAAAATCAGAAAAACGGAAAATCTGAAAATCAGAACATCAGAAAATCAAATAATTAGCTGATCAGAAAATCAGAAAATCAGAAATTAAGAAAATCGGACATTTAGAAAATAAGATATTCAGAAAATCACCCCCTAACGGACTGCAAGGCACTAACTCTTCTTTTTTTGCCTACATCGCGGTCGTGTGCTCGAATTGAGCGCTGGGTGTTACATCTACAAGGTTTTCAAAATAGGAGCTTACACATTTGTGGGACGCTCAATATAGCAGACGCGCTTTCTAGACTTTCGACGATCTCGCCAAAACCATTCGACGAAGCTGAAAAGCTAATGATCCGCGAAGTAGTTTAATTGCTCTAAAATGGGACGATTTAGAGAAGGTCCGATTTAGTGAAGACCCTCAAATCCATCAAAACTTTCAAGCTCTGGATTCTGGAATTGCTGACGAGGTACCTTGAAAATACAGAATTATATTTCCTGAGCTGTGCAGGATGAATGATGTGTTGCTTAGCATTGACCGTATTATAGTGCCCCTAACAATATTGCAACAACAAGTTCTTCAACTGGCACACGAGGCACGTCCTGGAGCTCGAATTATGAAAAGGACATCTTCGGGCTAATATTTGCTGACCAAAGATGAACCAGAATGTAGAAAGATATGTCAAAGCATGCCGTGGTTGTTCATTGGTATCCTCACCAAACCCTCCAGAACCAATGGTAAGAAAGCAGCTGCCGACACGTGCATGGGAGCAGGTCGCCATTGACTTCCTTAGGACCAATCCGACGTCTGCTACTATTGTTGCGTTGATGATTATTTTTCCCGATTTGGGATACCGGAGAGTCTTAAAGTAATTTACCGCTGAAGATTTTCGAATCTTCTGTGAGGAGTATGGTCTCCGACTAGTACACTCGATTCCTCATTGACCTCAAATGAATGGGGTAGTGGAGCGCCAGCACCGCTCCATTTTGAAGCGTTTGCGAATAGTGCAGGATTTGGAGAAGGACTGGCGGGAAGAGTTGAGGCAATATCTGCTGATGTGCCACGCAGCAAGTCACACGACTACAGAGAAGCCTCCATCGGAGCTCATGTTTGGACGTCGTATACGTCATAACCGCATCACAGGAATACAAGGTCGTGAGAGAACGAGACGTGTGACTTACAGGTGGGAGATCGCATGCTAGCGAAGCGTACCAGAAAGGAAAATAAGCTGTGTGCTGACTTTGCACCTGAAACGTTTGACGTTATCCATGTGGAGCTGATGTCACCATTCGATCAACTAAAACGGGAAAGGAAGAAGCTCAGCACATCTGAAAGCACTTTCCCGTGCAGAGCCTAACAAGACTGATCCACTCGAGGATTCAAGTTCGTCGGAGCCTCGGTTGGTGCTCTTATGTAAGCATTGATAAGAATAAATGAAACAGATGGAATTAATAATAATAGTTAATTTAGAGACTAAACCATAGTTTAATTATTTTAAAAATTTCAACATTATTAGCTCATGACAAAGTTACGATATTGAAACGTAGTATTTTGACTACTTCAATCTCCAACAATCATTTTCAGCTGAATTTATGTCGATCCGTAACAGTTTTGTATCGTCAATATTCCACATACGCCTTCATAAACTAAATATACTTCAAAACACTTTTTCTCAAAAAACCTACATGAGAAAAATATGAGGTACATGAATGTTGCAAAAAAGTGCCTTCAGCATGCGGGGCTTCATTTTTAATTTGAACTTCTAGTAACCCTATGACCTTCAGAATATCGAGTTTCTTATTTGCTGTTTTGTTTTTAATGCTGCGTTCCGTTTCACCTCGTTCCATTTCTATTTCCTCCTTTCCATCTGCTAAATGACGTTTGAGCTATTATTAATTTACCCGGCGTGCAGATTAGCGGGGTTCAAACTAAAAAGTGTTCAGATTAAAAACGGTCAGATTAGCGAGGGTCCACGCTGTAGGAATGGATTTTTTTTCCTAAAAATTATCTTTTGGAAACCCATGTCGCTTGTATGAATATTTGAATAAGATTCCATCATTACCATCCTAGCCAATTTTACAGACAGGTTTGCAAACAGAGGAAATTTTTCCAGACGGGCATAATCTGTTACTAAGAAAGATGTTTAATTTGATTGAAAATTCCAAGGAAACCGCCGAAACAAACTCGGCTACATAAATGTTTACCAGCATCATTAATCTGCTAATTTATATGCGTTATTGAGCAAAAGTTGAAGGATGATCCACTCGCAAAAAATGCACACTTCCGCACGACAGGCAACGAAAGCAGCAGAATTTGTTCTTCCACATTTCAATATTATGAGCTTATTCTTGGAGTCAAGTGGGTTTTCTGTTTCCTCTGTTGAGCTACTCGACCCGGACGCGAATCACATTGAGGCGTTTTGGATTTCCTGAGTGTGTTTGTAACGGGAAAAATTATCATTTCCTGTGCTTCCATTCGTGAAATAAAGTCAACATAAATAGCGTGATGGAAAGTTGAGTGGAAATGCGCATTTGGACTGGGAACGGGGAAGGGTAATATAAAATGAACAGTCTATGATCTGAGCGATGAAATACAGTGACAGTGTGGAAGAGTATCATTTCAGAAAATTACCCAATAAGGACATAAAAAATCCATAAGCAATGCACACGGTTGGACCGAATATCCAGTGGTGCGAGATGGCCGACGTCAGGGTGAACGGGTTGCCGACGATCGACACGGAAAAATCCGAGCACACCAGATTGAACAGGATGATGTTCATCGGGGTCCAGAGCTGAAATGGGAAAGAAAGGAAAACAATATAATTACAATAAATGCACGGGTCTATGCTTTGCAAAAGGGAATTTTCCATCGTAAATCTCCCAAATCTATGTTGACTTTAAAACCATTACGTTATTTGAATTCATTCTTCCGAATGGAATATGACATTAATAAGAACTCAACAAAGTTGGATAAAGTTTCTTTCCAAAGATAACCATCGTCACATTTCAGATGAAGATGCGGTGGAAATAAATCTATTTCTTGGTAGGTATGGCTTTCAACCACTTTTGGAAGAATAACAGAGTATTGTTACTTTGCGACGTTTTGGCGTAATGCATTTTGCTTTCTTCTTCGGCCGGTCCATTCGCGGCCGGTAACTTAGATGAATCTACAGCTGTTCTTAATAACGCTTTGAAAACGTGTACCAATCAACTAGTTGAGCAAAAGTTTGTTTCTTTGAAAAACTCGAACAGCTGGTACAATTTGGATCTTTTGCGTCTTAAACGGAAAAGGGACAAATGGTACAAAAAGTTTTGTAGATCTAATAATGACAATCATTGGACTAGGTACACAATCGCGCGTAATAAGTATTCACAATCGATAAAGAAAACTCGTTGTGAATATGTTCAAAGGAAGATTGATCAGCATCAAAACAACAGCAAAGAGTTATGGAAAATTTTGAAATCTTTATTAAAACCTAGTAATTGCAAACCGCGGTCCATAACTTTTAATGGCACATTAGAACAGTCAGAACAAGTAATTGCATCTAAGTTTAATGATTATTTCGTAGACAGTGTTTCATTGATTAATCAATCTATTGAATTGGTCGATGAACCTGACGAAATAAAACAGCCAGTTAATAGTAGTTGCAGATTTGAAGTTTTTCACCCAATTACATTAGATGAACTTAGAGTTATTTGTTTTTCATTAGGAAAATCGGCTGGAGTAGATAATGTTAATGCTAGAGTTATTCAAGATTGCTTTCATGTCATTGGCCACATCTTTCTGGACCTTATTAATGAATCATTGCAGAATGGACATGTGCCACAAATTTGGAAGGAATCCTTAGTGATTCCTATTCAAAAAGCTGCTGGAACGATTAAAGCCGAAGAGTTTCGTCCCATCAACATGTTGCACACTTTAGAGAAAATCTTAGAACTTGTTGTTAAAGGCCAGCTGTTGGAGTATTTGAATAGCAACTCTTTGTTGATACCAGAACAATCGGGATATCGGGAAGGTCATTCTTGTGAAACTGCATTGAATTTGGTGTTAGCAAAGTGGAAAGACAACTTGGAGCGTAAAGATACGATTGTTGCTGTTTTTTTGGATCTGAAACGCGCTTTTGAAACAATTTCTAGGCCCTTACTGTTAAGTACAATCAAGCGCTTTGGAATTACGAGTACTGCATATAAATGGTTTGAAAGCTATTTGTCTGACAGAACTCAACGGACTGTTTTTAATGATTCTGTTTCCAGTCCCGTGGGGAACAACCTTGGAGTGCCCCAGGGAAGTGTATTAGGGCCCCTTTTATTTATTATGTATATTAATGACTTGCGACGTGTTTTACGGTTTTGCGACATTAACCTTTTTGCAGATGATACTGTGTTATTCATTGCAGCTAAGGATTTAGAAGTTGCCGTCTCACACTTGAATGAAGATTTGCAGTATCTAAGTAGATGGTTGAAGTGTAAGCAGTTAAAATTGAATACAAGTAAAACTAAATTTATGGTAATTTCGCGGAATCGATTAAATGAGAACGTCTCTGTTGTAATTGATGATGAGACTATTGATCGCGTTCAGGAGATTAAATATCTTGGCGTGATTATTGATGACAAACTTAAGTTCAACTCTCACATTGACAATGTCATCAAGAAAATTGCCAAGAAGTATGGAATTCTATGTCGATTGAAAAACGATTTAACTATTGCCAGTAAAATACAGCTATACAAATCAATCATCTCTCCTCATCTAGACTTTTGCCCATCCATTTTATTTCTGTCCAATGCAACACAAATATCGAGATTACAGCGCTTGCAGAATAAAATAATGCGTTTGATTTTGAGATGTAATAGATTCACTTCCTCAACTTTGATGCTAGACGCCTTACAATGGTTGTCGGTGAAGCAAAGAATTGTATATTTGACTATGGTGTTCATTTTTAAAGTAGTTAACGGTTTGCTGCCTCGATATTTGTGTGATCGAATTGAAAGAGGAAGTGACTATCATAGATATAATACTAGAAACGCGGATGAAATAAGAACACCACATTTCTTGACTTGTGCTTCACAGAATTCATTATTTTTTAAAGGAATAAATGTTTTCAATTCGATGCCTAGACACATTAAACGTTCAACAACATTAGCAGAATTTAAGAGACATTGCATTTCACACGTTAAAACTGTCTTTTGAACGGTTATCCAGTGATTTTTTTTTTATGAATTGACAAATTATGTATCTTGACGAAGTTATTTTTAACGGATTACTTTGTATGGATAGCTGTTATAACGACTTTTTAATAATTATTGTAGCACTGCAAAAACTATTTTGTTCGCCACGATGGTGATGATGGATTTTTGATATATGATTTAATAGTAGTAGTAAAAAAAAATAGTAGTCTACAAAGGTTTGAGCCTCGCGCGCGTATTACGGATATAGAGGACTGAATTTAACATTTGATAAAAAAAAAAATGCAATTTTGAAGCTTATTTGGAACATACCTTGAGTTAGTAGTAAGTTTTCTGACAAATGTTGGGGGTTCGTGAGCATTCCTGACATTGCTGAAAATTATGATAGCATCAGATTGCGGGGTTGCTAGTGTAATAGGATGCTTTGTTGATTGTTCATTAACTCTTGATTGCTTGTAATACGTATGAATATTTTAGGTGGACAAAAAGGCGAAGAGGTGGACGCCTGAGCTTTTCAACATTTATATCGCTGTGAAGCAACTGTAAACTCTAGAGGGAATTTATATCTGTAACTGAAACCAGTTCGATTTTGTTTGCCAACCTGGTTAAAATGTCATATATAATTATCTTAAAGATAAATCGTCCAGCTCAAACCTTTGTAGGGGTAAGAGGTGGGACCATCATCATCATCATCATTATCAAAATAGCACGTACATTATATCATAGTCTAATAAAAGACTCGTTCTGAATCATCACACATATTTATTATGTCTCAAAGTAGACGGAATATTTAGGGACCGTCCGATATTCCGTGCATTACGATACCAAAAGTGATTGAAAGAAAAAAATGTCATTAATCAATATTGGCATACCTTCATCACATACAAAGGCCATTCAGTTGATGGAAAACGCGTTCGATGATGGGAATGATCGAGGTCTCCTCTAGCCTACACACTTAAGTTTATTTGCCAAATTTGAGTAATTTATGCATTGCAGAAGTGCTGGATAATTTGAATTTTGTTTTGTCGGATCAAAACCTCCTGCTCCCAAAGTTGTAGAACAATTGATTTGAAGTAACTTTGCATTTGCTATCTCTAATGGTACACGATTCATATATGTTTTTAATATGTAATGTACCCAGCAAAAAAATAATTTTAATATCACATCAAAGTTGATGCACTTCAATCGTGTCGAAAAAATTGTGTAATATTACTTGCCAAAATGTTTAAAATTTTCATTAATACAGTGCATGAACTGACATTACGCTACTTTTACTGTATTTGTTTACTGTTGTGGCCATAATGAGATTTTCGATAAGATTGAAGTGCATCCTCTTGGATGTAATATTAAAATTTATTTTTTGCTGTGTGGGGTGAAAAAATCAATTTTACAAGAGCAAATTTTTATGCATTAATTTCTCGTCTACAGTACGTTCTAAACACTTTTTCAAAATTATATAGCGCTCATTTTTAGTAGAAATAACCTTCACAGTGTTTTCACCGTAGATTAATGAAACCATGATTTTTCAAATGCAACTAATAACATAAAAAAACAACGATCTTTATTTTTAGGTATAAACATTTTAAAATTACGTATTTTTCTGTGAAAACCGTTTACAACTTTTAAACAAACTGAGATATCAAACTTAGCTTGGGCGAAAATGTGGACTATGAAAAATAAAAAAAAGTGTCTAGAACATACCGTATGCGTGATAATGTTTGCACCATCGACATTAAAAAAATCTTAAAAATTTCGTTTTCAAGTTTTTTTTTATTTATTCAAAGGGGGATGTTTCTCAGAGTCTTAAACTATGTTAATCATCGATCGAGTTTCCACTTGCTGCTATTACGGCCTCCACACCAGAATCTTCCTTTTGATAGCAGAGATAACCCTCGGAACCCGAGCTGACCTTTGGCCACCTTCGCGGACAGTTGTCCTTTCTTTTCTCGGTCTAAAACCCTTTTGACGGTCCACCGGGACACTAACACGGCGATTGAAATGTCTTTTTGCGACATTTGCGCGTGGGACAAATCACGAATACGCTGCCACTTCGTCATGGTGCAACTGTCAAACTAAGTAAATCATTTTCTTTTATACACAGCCTACTACGGTATGAGCTATAGGTTACGTGCATGCAAAGTAAAGGCATTGTATGCACAGGTGAAACGGGAACCTTATTTGTACGATGGTGCAAACATTATCACGCATACGGTATATTTAACGAGGAACAATGTATAAAATATTACTGAAGAAAAACCGATTGTTAGGGGCCACCCTAAGTCACTTATTAAAAATCAGCATACATCGCGAAGCATAAGAGAAAGAACATTGCTTCCTTGGGCAAACTTGTTCTACAACCTTGTGCAACATTACACTGATCTATTATTATGTACGAAGCCTCCTCTATACATCAGCAATCAAACGTTCCCACGCGGCATTAGACAACATCGCTGACGGCTGTAGCAGTACACGCGAGTTCTGAGTAAACAACGAGGTGCAACCTGAATCCAGCGACGTGTCTTCTTGGAACCTTTCATCTTTCCCAGCTGACCGAAGCGATTAAGGTAACTATGGTAGGTTTGGTAGGAAGTAGCTTCAGGATAAGTCA